CATTTGTCACTGTTAAACTTCATTTGTTATGTTAAGTATGTTAAGAAAATAGTATGTTAGATGAATTCTTGCACATTAATAAAAGCTTAATTTCTTATTCAAGAAAGATAATAGTCCCACTACATTCTGGCGTAGTGTCTTCGGTTTTGGGTTCCTCATTTTAAGAAGGATATGTAGCAGGTTTAGAAGTGGGCAACAAGGATGAGAAGAGGCATGGAGACCAAGGCATATGCAGAAAGGTTGAAGGTGCTGGGAATGCTGAGCCTGGTGAAGAGAAAACGGAGTGTCCCAACAGCCATGTCTGGCCTCAAAGGGAGAGAAAAGAGTAGGCAGTATCTATGGACTTAATCCCCTCCTCACTGCCATTCCTGTTTTCTTTCCTTCCATGTCTAATTTAGATAATAGGCCTGAGGGCAAGATGCTGTCAAATTAAAAATTTGTTAGCCATTCTGAGCGCTTTAATGGCTGAAGAGTGAGAGATAAATACTCTAAATAAATAAATAATGTTTTTTAAGTTACAAAAGGATTGATTTCAACCAAAAAAAATGACTATACGAGTGGTTTGGCAATTGAAGCAGTTGTGTAGAGAGGCAAAAGAGTCTCTTTCTCTAGATGTCTGCAGAAGAGGCTGGACAGCTATCTGATGGTGATGGTATCTGGAGAACTTTCACCGAGTAGAAAACCAGACTCAACCGCCCAACAGGCCCATTCTGGCTCTATGATTCCAGGATACTAGTACAATTCCACTCATTCTTGGGTTGTTGTAGGTTTTTTCGGGCTATATGGCCATGTTCTATAGGCATTATCTCCTGAGTTTCGCCTGCATCTATAGCAAGCATCCTCAGAGGTAGTGAGGTCTATTGGAACTAGGAAAAAAAAGTTTATATATATGTGGAATGACCAGGGTGGGAGAAAGGACTCTTGTCTGCTAGAGCTAGATGTGAATGTTTCAACTGACCACCTTGATTAGCATTTGATGGCCTGGCAGTGCCTGGAGCAATCTTTTGTTGAGAGGTGATTAGATGTCCTTGTTTGTTTCCTCTCTGTTGTTGTGCTGTTGTAATTTTAGTTTTTTTTAATACTGGTAGCCAGATTTTGTTCATTTTCATGGTTTCTTCCTTTCTGTTGAAATTTTCCACATGCTTGTGGATTTCAATGGCTTTTCTGCGTAGTCTGACATGGTGGTTGTGAGAGTGGTCCAGCATTTCTGTGTTCTCAAATAATATGCTGTGTCCAGGTTGGTTCATCAGGTGCTCTGCTATGGCTGACTTTCTAGAAGCATTCTCTCCTTTCGTGTTCCTTGATTCGTGTTTGGGCAATGCTGCATTTGGTGGTCCCTATGTAGACTTGTCCACAGCTGCATGGTACGGTAGACTCCTGCAGAAGTGAGAGGATCCCTCTTGTCCTTTGCTGAACGTAGCATTTGTTGGATTTTCTTGGTGGGTCTGTAGATAGTTTGTATGTTGTGTTTCCTCATCAGCTTCCCTATGCGGTCAGTGGTTCCCTTGATGTATGGCAGGAACACTTTTCCTCTGGGTGGATCTTCATCTTTACTCTCGTGGCTTGTTCTTGGTCTTGCAGCTCTTCTGATGTCTGAGGTGGAGTATCCATTGGCCTGTAGAGCCCAGTTGAGGTGGTTCAGTTCCTCTTGGAGGAGGTGGGGTTCACAGATTCTTTTTGCACGGTCTGCCAAGGCTTTAATGGTGCTTCTTTTTTGACTTGTTCCACTCGTTCCTGCTTCTGCAGATACTGGAACAGAGCTTGGAAATAACTAGTCAATCAACTTTCTGGTTATTAACTTGTTGAGGTTTTTCCTAATGTGCCTTAATTCTCTATTGCCTATTAATTCCAAAGCTAATCTATGATTAATTAATGTTTTATGTTAGAATTCATTAAAGTGGATGGATATTCTTCAGACCAATTCAATATAACAAGAAAGCCAAGAGAGAAGGATTACAATGCCAGGAAATACATCTCGTTGCTTTTTTCTTTTATGGGGGAGCTGATCCAGCGTAAAAGTAGCCAGGAAGAATGTGAATGGCTGTTACGTAGGGACTTAAAGAATCTTAGGGTTGAAAGGGCTATCTACTCCAACACCCGAGCACTCCCAAAGAAATGGGGCCATCCAATCTCCGTTTAAAATCCTCTTAATTTCTTTGGCAACCCTTTAAGCCAGTGGTTCTCAACCTGTGGGACCCCAGGTGTTTTGGCCTACAGCTCCCAGAAATCCCAGCCAGTTTACCAGCTATTAGGATTTCTGGGCGTTGAAGGCCAAAACATCTGGGGACCCACTGGTTGAGAACCACTGCTTTAAGCAATAAATCCAAACTTTGAAACTTAAAATGATTTAGTTAGGTATTTCTGAACCTCTTACCTATCCCTGACCATGGTCCCTTTACTATATCATGACTTTATTTTCACCAGGTTTAGCACTGTGTTGCTTTTGAATTAAAGGAAAAGAAAATGAGTTTTTCTTCCTTCAATTTTAAGCCAATTTTTTCTCAATTATTTTCCATGTTCTAAGTCATGGTTCTGTTTGCAAATATACACATAAATGGCAAATAATATCCCTTCTCCTGTACTATTTCTTTGGAATTGGTTATGCCCCCTGTTACTACCTTTCAACCATGACATTCATCTTCCAGATTTCTTACTTGCTTTCTTTATTAAGAATTCAAGTTCATCTTATTTATTACCCATATCTGTCCATTAGTGTAGAGACATATTTATCTCCAACTGCTTTTCCCTCACTTGTAGGTTCTTGTACTTTCTGCCCAATTTACCTACATCATTGAGGCTACTGAGTAGTACTTGAATTACTGAATTGCTCTCTCTGTTCCCTGAACACCTCTGTTGAAAGTCTTTCCAGTTCTAGCACATATACTCTTTCCAACTATTTTCTTGCCATAAGTCCATCTTCATAACAGCAAGGAGCATGATCCAAGAGCCCATCCTTCCCAAAGGCAACACCTTCAGGGCCAGTTGTTCCTTTCTAGTTTTCTCTTGCTTCTTGGACCATATCCTTCACCTGATGGACAGACTCAATCAATCAAGATCTCAGTTTGCAAAATCTGGTTAAGGCTGTTGATAACAGGATGTGGAAGCCTCTCATTCAGAAAGTCACCATAAATCGACGTTGTCTGGATGGCAATTAATAACAGCTGAACAACATTAGTCCCAGTTCAAGGTGCAGGTTCTAACCTACCAAGCCCTGAATGCTTTGGGACCTGCCTACTTGCGTGACCGCATTTCTGTGTATGAATCCACACAATCTCTTCATTCATCTGGAGAGGCCCTGCTTGTGCTCCCACCTCCATCACAGGTGCGATTGGTGGGGAGGAGGGAGAGGGCCTTCTCGGTGGTGGCCCCTCGACTCTGGAACTCACTTCCAAAGGACATCAGGCATGCCCCAACTCTGGCAGTCTTTAGGAGGAGCATGAAAACGTGGTTGTTCCAGTGTGCCTTCCCAGAATAATGAATTCTCAGCATTGTGCCCTCTAAATGCACTTTACACTGATTTAGGATTGTTTGTACGCTCTCACCAATGTCCCATCTCTCCTACCTTATTCATGCCTAGCATTATTTTTAACTTTAATTACATTTGGCCCAGCCATCGATTTTAATTGTGTGTTGTATTACTGTCATTGTATATTGCTTTTTTGTTTGTGAGTTTTATTTAATTGTTTTATTGTTGTTATTATTTCTTGTATTGATATATTGTGGGTTCGGCCTCATGTAAGCGGCACCGAGTCCCTTGGGGAGATGGTAGCAGGGTATAAATAAAGTATTATTATTATTAGGTTCTTGTGGGTTTTTTCGGGCTATAGAGCCATGTTCTAGAGGCATTTCTCCTGACGTTTCGCCTGCATCTATGGCAAGCATCCTCAGAGGTTGAGAAGGTCCTAATTGTTTGAAGAAGTTTCCTAAATGCAGATTCAAAAGATGAAGGTTTATATCCCTAACAACAATGCCCCCACTCCAGCAAGTATAATTACTCTGAGCTAGTAGCCACTGATAAAGGTAAAGGTAATCCCCTGACATTAAGTCCAGTCATGTCTGACTCTGGGTTGTGGTGCTCATCTCCATTTCTAAGCCGAAGAGCCAGCATTGTCCGTAGACACCTCCAAGGTCATGTGGCCGGCATGACTGCATGGAGCCGTTACCTTCCCGCGCAGCAGTACCTATTGATCTACTCACATTTGCATGTTTTCGAACTGCTAGGTTGGCAGAAGCTAGGGCTGACAGCGGAAGCTCATGCCGCTCCCCGGAATTGAACCTGCGACCTTTCGATCAACAAGCTCAGCAGCTCAGTGCTTTAACCCACTGTGCCACCAGGGGCTCCATATTTTATAAATTATTATTATTATTATTATTATTATTATTATTATTATTATTATTGGGTCCTTTTTTCATGCCAGGAGTGACTTGAGAAACTGTTAAGTCAATTCTGGATTGAGAAAATTGGCCGTCTACAAGGACGTTGCCCAGGGGATGCCCAGATGTTTTGATTTTTTACCATCCTTGTGGGTGGCTTTTCACATGGGCCCACATGGAGTTGACAGAGGGAGCTCATCCGTGCTCTTCCCAGATTCGAACCTCCAACCTGTTGGTCTTCAGTCCTTCCGACACAAGGGTTTAACCTATTGCACCACTGGGGGCTCCACATTGGGTACTACACCTAGTAAACATAAGGAATAATTTGGAATCAGGGGGAGCCAGCATGTCTAGTAATGACTGGCTACTTTTTAAAGATTCAACCTCTCTTTGTTATCTTGGAAAAGGAGAGTTACATTAAAAAAAGACAAGTAACAAAACTCCCAACTGTATTTCATTTTAGAAGAAGTTCTTTAGGAACTTTCTTTAAAAAGGGGAGAGAACCAGATTTATCCATGACCACAAAAGAGAACTGGTGAGTGCATACATTTGTATCCCTAGAGCTATTAAACTTCTCAGTGATGTGAACCAGATGGAAACTAAGACAAAAGAATTCACAACTCATGGTAGACTGATTTGAATTCCTTTAATTTCACACAATGAATAACATATGAATAGGATTAACTTTTTTTCCTTTTTTTTCTTGTATTTTTTTTAATAGTTAAGTGCTCTATACTGTGCTAACCTGATTTGGTAGCGAAAGGAGCTTCCTTTTAGAAAAAAAAATGTTTAAAAACCAACATTGAAAATCATGAAAAAGCATGACATTTCAGCATGCCAGATGTACCTAACCCTCAAATAACAGCAAGTCTGTATCCATTTTTTAAATGTACAAAAATGCCTCATGAATAAAAACCGTTACAAAAAGAACATTTCAAACAAATGTACAAGTTTTTGTCTTGCCTCTATATTCAATAAAATACAAATACATTTTTTTGCTCTAAAATATGTTTACATACAATCAAAGGAGAACATGCAAATTACACGTTAAAAAAGGCATTTAAAAACCACTTATGAATACAAACTAAAAAGTAGCCAGCACGACTTATAGAACAATCTTGTGCCCCGTTCATTTTTGTAGGATTTTTTTTATATTTTTGAAATACAGTATATACATATTTAACACTTTGTGTGCATTTAGTATCATCATCATCATCATTTAAGAAACAGCATTAAAAAAAATAAACCAATTGACATGGGCATGTACCATTTCTTTTCTTTTTTTTCCTTCCCATGTTGACAAAATTGGCATCTCCTTTTCCTTTATTTCAATTTCTTTTTCTTTAACTGAAGGGGAGGGGGAAACAAGCTTGTAAATGATTGCTTGTTTTATTACTTCGTAGGCAGGCATTTTATGAAGATCTCCAATAAATTTCCTTGGTTGAAATGTGCTTCTGATTAACAACCCAGTCCTAAGACTTTTTTTTTTTTGCCGTGCTAGCAATTTAATGGTTTGGATGGAGCAAATCCATAGCGTCATTAAATTTCCAAACAATAACGTTAGGCCAATGTTGCCAGCAAGATATGCTCCTGCAAATGTTTAGAATTGAGGTGTAAATCAGGAATTGTTGCACCTTCGTTGCTAAATGGTTGTGTGTCTAAACAGAAAATGTAATTAGAAATAGACCTTGTTCCAGTTCCCACCGAAAAACAAAAAGATGAACATGTGCCGACCAGAATGCACAGAATTCAAAAGTATACATTTAACGTATTGTCAAAGGCTTTCATGGCTGGAATCACTAGGTTCTTGTGGGTTTTTTTCGGGCTATAGGGCCATGTTCTAGAGGCATTTCTCCTGACGTTTCGCCTGCATCTATGGCAAGCATCCTCAGAGGTAGTGAGGGCATATTTAACGTCACCCCAACTTTTTAAAAGGAAAAAAAAATATGCAAGAGGGGATGGGGGATAGAGTTCAGAGCATCTTTTGTGTTATCTTCATCACTGATGGACCAAATAGGAAGCATAGCAAACAAACTGACACATCACCAAAGCAAAATTATACTTTCATCATCAGTTGCATTATTGGCACTGATGTTTCAGTGTGTTCACATTTTGGCTTGTACGCACAAGTACTGAGATTGATTTTAATGGATTCTTCTGGCCCTTTCCTTCTGCCCTCAATATAAACTATTCAGCACTGGAATACGCTGCCTCAGTGTGTGTTGGAGTCTCCTTTGGAGGTTTTTAAACAGAGATTGGATGGCCACCTGTCTGGAGTGCTTGGATTGTGTTTTCCTGCATGTCTTAACTCTTCCTTGACTCCATGACAATTTAACATAGGTGGACCATATAGTAGTTAGCATTTCATTGGAAGAGTAGTGTGGTCTAGGGTCTTGCTCAGAATCAGCCAAAGATAGCTAAACACTTTTGATTTTGAATGAATAGACCCCATCCATAGTTTCCATTGCAATATCCATTCATACCTTCGCTTTTGAGTTGGCGGGATGAGTATTAAAGTGGACTATCATGGCCAGAAACATCCACCTGCCTATATAATCTTACTCCTGTGTGTATGTGTAAGCATAAATTTCCATGATCTTCTGATACATCTGTTTTTGGACATTTCAATGTTTCTACAATCAAATCAAGGTAAGTCTTCCTGTTCAAATACTAGGAGCCAGTATGGTGGAGTAGTTTAAGCATTGGACTACAATTCTGGAATATATAGTTCAAATCCCTATTTGGCCATGAAAATTCTGTGGGTGACCTTGGGCAGATTCTGGAAGCAAAGCAAGGTGAGTTCTGGCTAGTACTTGGATGGGAGACCATTAACAAATACTAGATGCTGTAACCTATATTTCAGAAGGAACTGGCAAAACTACATCTAAGTAGTCCTTGCACAAGAAAACGCTATGAAATTCATGTGGTTGCCATTAAGTTGACAGGTGACTTGAAGGTGTGGATTGAGAGAGAACAATGAATGAAAAATACTACCTGAAATACTAATGAGAAATAACACATGATTTATTTGCTTTCATGGGGTCCTTTGCACCTTTCATGAGTTTTGTGCCCCAGGAAATGTTAAGGGCTGACTATATTTGAACATGCATTTCAGCTAGTGTGAATGAATGTAAACAATGAATATGAATTAAAATTGCTTACAGAAATGCAACCTTAAAAATGTTAAAAATCTCTAATTTAAAAATAATAACCTGCAGGTACATAAAATGGACACAGAAGTGTAAACAAGAATAAGTCCACAGAAGCAGAGTTGTCAAATGGGCACCTCAGCTGTTCAAGCGTGTTTCCATTTTGTGTGCCTATGCTTTTAAAGGTGTCAAAGGTAGATCAGTCATAAGAAATTGGGACTGAAAGAAAAATCTGCAGTGATCAGATTAATGAGAACACATTCCCTGTATCTCAAGTGCTTTCTGATGTCAAAACACTCAGAGCTGCTAACATTTTTTCCTTTATGAGGATTTATATTTGCATTGAAAAAAGCAAGTGCCTTGTAATGTGAGGATCAAAGAATCATTTGAGTTGACAGATGTTCAATGGCTCAGCACCAATCTTGCTATAAAAGAGTTATCCCTCAATCTGTGAGCCATCAAGGCAAAGAATAGCCACTGGCTACGGATGGCACAGAGGCTTTTTGCAGCCAAGAACAGATGAAGCTGGCATTTTTGATTTCTGCCAGGTCCTACTGGGTTTTCTGTAAATGGTTAACAAGCTACATGATTTGGTTTGGAGGGTTACAACTTGTGCATGCTAGCCATTAGGAAAGAAGCATGAGTTGAGTGAGAAACATCTGAGTTGTCCATTGTTGTTTAGAGAAAGGCATCAGTGAGCTGCTGCAGACCTTGGCATCTCCCACATTTCTTCTCCTATTCTCACATTACACAAAGCCATTCTTCTTTGAAGCATACACATCTCTCTTCTTTTTTTTGGGGGGGGGGGGGATCCAAAATTTTGCTAAAATACTATTCTGTGTACAGGAACACTTTTACTCAGGATTGATAAAGATCATGGCCAAATGGGGACTGAGTAGGGAATGGATGGTTACACCTTGTCAAAAAAAATCATAACCATGTTCACTAATGAATGATAGATCAGACTTTCCAAAAATCAATGGTGGACAGAAGCAGTAAGCTGATTCTTGAGTCATATGGTGCAGCTTTCATGTATTTTATATCACATTGCATATTAGTGCAATGTGAGATCAGGAGCTTGTCCAGCAAAAAACAACTTTAAATAGAAGGTTGCATGAATTCATAGCACACAGCTACTTTAGATGAGTGTCCCATTGGCGTGGTGGTGGTGGTGGTGGTGTTAAAACCAATTTTGCTCTGCTTGGACAAAGGATGGGATACTCTAGAGCAGGCATGGGCAAACTTCAGCTCTCCAACTGTTTTGGACTAAAACTCTCACCATTCCTAACAGCCTAAGGGCCGAAGTTTGCCGATACCTGCTCTAGAGTTTGACAAAAATTTGGAGTATGTCACAGCTTCAGGGCAATCTGGACAGAAGGATCAGGTTTGATTTGGCCCAATCTGCTCTCTGGACTGTACTCTGGTGCCATTCCTCCTTCGTGGTAACTGCAGGGGACTCTACTGACATAGAGAGCAGGGCACCTGCATGGCCAGCATTACAAAAGGACCATCCTGCTCCCGTTCCTGGTCATATGGGTGCCTTTTCCGGTTTTCGAATGAGGTATCCGCATGACCAGGAGGGGGAGAGTATTTCCTCCTTTGTGTTGGACACATGGGGGCTCTATTCTCAAGTCAACAGAGGCACCTGCAACAGTCATAGATGGAGTTCAATGGCTAGTAAGAATGGCAATTGTGATGAGATGGAGGAGGTGAAATGCATGTGGCCCCAGCAGAGTGAATGTACTCTCAAGCCATGTAAACAAATGCTCTGGAAAATCTGCCTAGCAATTAAGACTGCTACACAACAAAACTGATGCTTAAACTGGCCTTAAGTCGATAAAAATGGCTGGAAGAAAATAAAATCCTAAAAATTATTTTGATTTCCAAAGAAGGTAGTTGTGTTAAGAATCCTATCGTATCCTACAAACAAACACAGGAATGTTTGTGCGTGGTAACCCATTTCATCAGATGCATGAAGCATGTTCCAAAATATCTATTGTTTTAAACAATTCCTTTGTGTATTACTGAACCACCTTTTTCAAGTCTCAAAAGCAGAAACAATGCTACCACTGTGCAACCCTATCATGGTAAAATTTACAGGAAAAAGAAAGAAATTGCTCATCACTGAATCTTAATTTTTCTTTTTTAAAAAAACCAAGCAAAATAGGATTACTCCAATGAAACTTGCCCTCAAAACTTTTGCTCAGTCTGAATTGTTTGACTTCAAACAACATAATAATGATTGTTTATGGATTTTGCAATGCAAAATTGTTTTGGATGAAGATATATATCCAAAATTTTAAAAAAATATTAGTCAATAAATGAACACTTCGAGTTTGAACTGGACAAGTGAAACTGACAATTTAGAGAGACAATTTAGGACATTGTTTGTGTGCATGCAGACTGATTTTCCCCATTTTTCGTCATAATTACAATATGTACAAAAAGGAAAAAAAAGCCAAAGTATTTTTTTTTCATTAAGGCAACCACAATTTGAGGGGATGGGGAAGAGTGTCCAAAGTGGTATTAGTACAACGGCAGTGGTAATACCCTTTGAACATTTCAATCATCTTCAAGATATATATATTTTAGATAAGAACACTTAATCCTTTTATATTTGAATTCACAAAATGCCTGTCAAGAAATATTTTTTTCCTCTGCTCTAAATTTCTGGGAGAAAAGTTTTGGAAGCACTTTCACTGTTTCTGTGGTTTTATGTATATGTATAGATTTGCTTAGGAAAACCAGGTGAAGACATTGCTATATTGCTTGGATGCAAACATACAGAAAATGTTTGTCCCCAAGTCTCCCAACTGATGTGGAAACAGCAGGAAATATTTGAAGTCCTTGCCTTTTAATAAAACTGGCAATCCTGCTGGTTTTTGCTGATGTGTTCCAAATTCTCTTCTGCTTCCCAAATCAGCTGGGTGGACCATTGCTTCCATCACCAGTAGGACATGCCAGTCAATTTGGTAGTGAAAATCTGGCATCTCTTCTGACAAGAAATGCAAAGCTTTTCATGATGCCACAGAAGGGTCATTAGAAATTTCCTTGGTTTTGGTGGGGTGCTTCACTCATCCTCTCTATATTACTCACATTAGGAACATTTTTGAGGAATGGGGAAGGAAAAAAAACCCTAAGATTCCCAAGTTAGCTGTCCTGTGCCTGCCCAGAGATTCTTAAAAAAATACTCCAAACCCGGTAAGACAAATTAACAATATTTTTGCAAAGCAGATTAAAACCAAGATGAGGAATTTACACTTTTTTTAAAAAAGAGAGAGCAGAAGTTACTTCCAAGGGTTGCCAATTTTGTTCCTTACAGGCGCTCTTACTACTTAAACAGCTGAATGGCAAAGAGAACTCTAATAAGTGCAATGCTTTTTTTTTTCCTTTCAGGTGAACAGCAGTGACTGAAAAAGCTGCTGGTGATATGTTTCTTTCTGCCACACATCTATTTAAAAGCTGCAGAAGCCTCTATTCGGAAGGGCGATGGCAATCCTGGCAGGGATAATATTAGTCCTGCCAAGTGTGAAGCTCAGGTGACTCTGGGTGAACCCCCCCCTTCCTTTCTGATACACAAGAAACACAACTTTAGGCATTGTTGCTGTTGTCCAGAGAAAGTCTCCCCAAAAGACAGACTCGCTGGGTTTAGAAAGCCTTGCTCTTGATCCCCTCCCTTAATAAGAATATTGTTACTGGTCATTCCTGTCTGGTTTCTGAATGGCTGCTGTGCTACCGAAATACAGAGCAAGTCTGATGCTGTAAATGTAGAAGATGTTGAGTGGAGGGTCCCATCCCAGAGCTCTGGTCCACTGGTCCCAGGACACTCACCATCCAACACTGTCCTCTGATTGGCCATGTCCGTTATTAGGTTTCGCTTTCACTTCCTCTTGTTTTCCGGTGCCTTTTCACCTTCACTGCCACCTCCTCTTCCTCCAGACATTGTTGCAAATTGTTTTTCCTTTTCCCAACCCTTGCTGTCCGTGAAGAGGGGGCTGGGGTCGGCGGAGGGGGCGGAGGCAGCGGGGTCGCTCGGGCCATATGTACGACAGCCTCAATGGTGGCTGTAATTGTATCTTGATGGGCCGCTTGTTCCAATATTAAAGGATTCAGCGCAAATCTTTGACCTCGTTTGCAAGGCAGGTCAACACATTTCTCCAAAACGGGCATTTGGTCTCTGGAGTCGTCGTCGAAAGACGAGGGCTGTTTCCGGGGACGTCCTCGCCTCTTCTTGACAAAGTTATTGCCTGTCTTTGATTGTCTCTGCAGCCGCTTGGCTTTCAGGATTTTGTTGACGTGATCCAGGTTCTTCTTGGTGGAGAGAATCTTGGTGTAGTTACACATCTTCCGCACCTCGCACTGGATCGCTTCGATCTCACAGCGCTTGAATCGTTTCTTGAGCGGTGAGCTGGCTGCAAAGCAGAAGGAAAGGAGGAGGTGATTAAGTTAGGAAACAACTGGAATTGGCATCTCAGTCTGCAAAAATAATGGCTGAAAAATGATGAATGCCGACCAATAGGAAGATTTGCTGGGGCTGCGGATTATGAATAATGGGGAAAGATGGGGAAATGGCATACTGAATAGAATAATAGAAAATATTTCAAAATTATTTATGATAAAGGCATTCGAAGAAGAACAATCATTTATATCGTAAGCCTGTAAACATGTCATTAAAATTACCTTGGAAGATTGTATAAATTAATGAATTAAAGGAGTGCAGAAATTAGAAATTGTTTTCATATCCTGAGATTAATGATTACAGTTTCATCAGACAGGAACTTCTGACAGTGATTTTATTGGGTTGTTGTAGGTTTTTTCGGGCTATATGGCCATGGTCTAGAGACATTCTCTCCTGACGTTTCACCTGCGTCAGGAGAGAATGCCTCTTGACCATGGCCATATAGCCAGAAAAAACCTACAACAACCCAGTGATTCCGGCCATGAAATCCTTCGACAATACAGTGATTTTATTGTTTGCCTGATAGCAAGGCCAAAAGACCTCTTACACATACAGAACCTCTAACACTCGGAAAACCTCTTCAAATGGCTGAAAATAGCCACAAAAGCTAACTTCTAGTGAGTTAAGCCTTATTGGTACAACCTACAGGAAGGTCGTGGAGTGAAATTATCCCTTTTCCCATGAACAGTTGATTAAAATGTGTGATCAAATAGCCATAGGAAGTTATAGGCTCAATTCAACCTGTTGAAGAGGTGAGATGAACTCTTCAACACATGCCTTCCAAGCTGTAGAGAGTAGCAGAGCAAAGCTTGGTTCATGTTGCTCCATCTCAAGGCTATTTTTGTACTTCTGTATAACTTTTTCTATAGTCATAAAATAGGTGAAGTGTCTTTCCTGGAAATTTCAAGGAGTGTCTTTGCCTCTAATATCCTTCCCTCTAATGAGCAGTCGGGGTTTATTTCCTGAAGTGTGGACTGTTTGGATCTTCTCGCAGTCCAAGGCACTCTCAGAACTTTCCTCCAACACCACAGCTCAAAAGCATCTATCTTCCTTCACTCAGCCTTCTCTATGGTCCAGCTCTCACATCCGTAGGTTACTACGGGGAATACTACTGCTTTAACTATGCGGATTTTGGATACTCACATATAAGTCTAGAAATATTAGTCAAAAATTTGACTAAATTTACTACTGTATATTATACAGTACTTTGCTTATTTAGAATTAAACCAGTGAACACTTTCTCCCCACTCAGCTCAAAGGAAAACACACTGCCCTTGAATTAGCTTTTTAGTATGAGTTAACAATCTTATTAATACTTACTAGGGGTATGTTTAGTAGAATGCACTTAAAGGAATAAATGGCATCCCACCTTCATTGACACACTGAGATACAAAAAATTCTCAATGGCGATCTCAAGCAACACTGTCCTGACTCTCTTGCTGCTGTTTGTTCATTTCTTTTTAAAGGATTTCTCTTCCAGTTTTCTCTTTTAACGAAAACCCTTTTGCCAAAGACAACTATAAGCTAAATGAATTTTGAACATCAGCAAATCACAGAGGTAATATGAACCATTTGCCTATTCACTCTGGAGTCTGTTTCACTATGTTCAATGGGATAATAGTGCCAAGTGAGTGAATTTAGGATTGCGGCTGAATCCTATCCATGCAACTGTAGCACACCAATAATCCTTGAATAATAAGGCCTGTACTTTTCCCCTTCTAAAGATGATAAGCAGCTGTTAATGAGCACTATTAAGACCTCATTCTGGTATCTTTTGGATCTTTTTTACATCCCTGCTCCCCAAGCAGTCGATGTGTATATATACATATTGATTTACTAAGGCTACACTCCATGCATCTGGAAAAGTGGGCAAGCTTATACCAAATAAAGTGTATTTGTTGTTATGGTGCCGAAGTCTCTTGCCAGAATCCTGTTGGTGTTCTACACATTTTCAAGAGTTAATTGATGCAAAACATCAGCATTCGATTCAATGTGGTGGCAAGAGAGTTTGAACATGAGGGTGCCATTATGCAGGTGGATGTGGTCTACACACTGATGTTTACACACATTGCATATGCACAGAGTTTGCACACAGATGTACAAATACATTTTGTTGTGCATTCAGCAGCATATTTGGTGTCCTGGTTCAGTTGTGCAATGCATAGTAAAGGTAAAGGTTTTTCCCTGACATTAAGTCCAGTTGTGTCCGACTCTGGGGGTTGGTGCTCAGACACCTCCTAGGTCATGTAGCCAGTATGACTGCATGGAGTGCCACATATTTATTTCATAAAATTTCAGTGAAGGCCCTCCTACTGTCACTTTCCCTGGTGGGATGGATACAGAGTGGTTGACACTTTCAACGAGTGCCTTAATCATTGAAAGCCCACTACGGGTGCTGTTACTGCCCACCATTTTGGAAACCCCAAGCGACGCAGATGATGCTTACCTGCTTCTGATGGTGCTGTGGCTGAGGAAGGTAAGAGGGAGAGAATGGGGGCTGAGGACATTGCAATGCCGTCAAGAGATGCTGGTTTCCGACGGGTCATCACAGCAGAAGTAGAACCCTCGTTTTTATTGTGATGTGAATTCTGGTCTGCTTTTAGATGAGAACTAGTATTTCCTGCAGAATAAAAGAAGAAATGATGGCATTTATCAGGTGGGGAAATTCAGCTAATCAGAAATATACCATAAATGCCTTGCTGGACTTCAAAGGGAAACGAGCGCCCCAGCATTCTTCACTTATAAATGTGCTGCTAATAATGGAGTTTTGATACTAGAGAGGATTATGAACTTTTTTATTGGGTTTCAGTCCTTTTTTCGCCTGTGGACATAACATAAACATTGATTCCTAGCCAACCCATTATTGCCTCCCAAGTCTATTTTTAAAACAATATGAGGAAAGATTATAATCACATCCCTGTTAGGGGCTGTTTTTCCATGTGCCTCCATGTACTCGTGTATCTTATCACACAATTACAAGCACTTGGACAGACAGGAATCTCATTACAGTCCAACCATTTCCCCTACAGCAGAATTTCCCACACATTATCAACCCAATATAGCAGGTAAGATAGCTTCTCACTTGTCAGTCCTATCCACACAATAGGGTTTGCACCTGATTTCTCAAAAATTACTACCATTATCCTCCTCTTCATCATCCCATTTGTACTCCACCTTTTCTCCAAGAACACAGATGGAGAACGATAACAAAGGCTAATTTTTATTTCAACTCAAAGTAAATACATTGGGGTTGGAGGGCTGGATTGGTCCCAGAGTGAAAGTTGGACTTGAGTATGGGTTCTTCTAGGTATCTAAAACCAAAGGTCACTGCTGTTGGATATCTCACATATCCTCTTACATCTTTGGAGCATTATATTGCCCTGCAGAGTTTGTGATTTCATAGCATTCAGAATTGAGATGAGTAGCTTTCCTGTGTCGATTTCAGATAACAAAGCAGAAATGTGCAAACCACATGAGATGGTGTCATAAGTCATAAAAATGTGCAACAAATTAAGAGCCATGCCAAAATTTCAAAGATGGAAACAATTGTAGCATGTGTACAGATGTGTGTGTGTGTGTGTGTGTGTGTGTATGAGAGAGAGAAAGAGAGAGAGAGAGAGAGATGAGAGAGTGAATATATATGAAGGATATAATAATGCTAAGCACCTCCTGGATTCAACATCTGTTGATAATTAAGCAGAAGATCCTGTATAAAAAGCTCTGTGAAAACTAGCAGCTGTAACCCCTCGACCTCTATTGATAAAACCCCCCATCAACTCCACCCCCTCCAACCAAGTCTTCTGTGAAACTGCAATTCGCCATATCAAGGGCCAGACATCCATTTTCCAAAGGTAATCCCTCACAAAGCACTTATCCTCTCCAAATCTCTACCTGCACACCGCGTTTGCATTAGGGACTCTTGATTTATGGATCCTTGCTACTCAGAGGCAGGAGCCTACTTCCTGTTGCTGTGGTTACTTGGATCCTGGTTCAAGGCCCCCACTTCAGAATGGGTGGTGGGCCCCAGCATTGAACAGCTAGAGTTTATTGACTACCTTAGGTGGCTTCAAAGGTCAAAGACCAAAGTGCTGCTGCCTGCCTTTAGGGGGAGTCAATATTTGCAATATTTGTATTTTGCTTCCTCTGAAGATGTTGAGAGGGGGGCACATGTGGTTGCCACCTATCTGGGTTTACCAAGGTCACACAACCCACTGAAGAGCACAGCATCATCTTGGGAAGCTGTTGCAAATTTGACAAGCGACTTCAAAGAGCCTTCTGTCCAACTGTCGGTGCATCATTACTTCTCCACAGGGCCATTCCTATTATATTGTAAGACCTCACTTTTGTTTCTAATTTATTTTGAGCCCCTTTAGAAAAAATAACCCACTCCCCTCTGGAATGTTCAGTCCAGATGGTGGCATGTTAAGGCCTTCCTAAGGAAGTAGCCAGATGAAATGCCAGAAGAAAAGCTCAACAAAATATTGCAATGCCACCCCACAGAACATTAACACTTACTCTTGGCAACAGCAGTTAGGCTAAAGCAAATGGGATCCATGGCTCAGTGGGAGAGTGCATAATTTGGACATACAGTAGGGACCCCTGATCTGACATCCACTGATCTGACATCCATGATCTCAACCATCCATGGCATGAGAATATTTTAAAAATCCAAACAACAAATCTTGAGTTTTCCATTTTACAGAAGGCAGTGTTTCTCAAACTGTATTCCTCCAGGTGTTTTGGACTTCAGTTCCTGAAATCCCAACTAGTTTAGCTGTTAGTAATTGTGGGAGCTGAAGTCCAAAACATCTGGAGGAGCACAGTTTGAGGAACTGATATAAGGAATGCATTTTACTATGCTATTTTATATAATGGAACTTGAGCATCTGCAGATCAAAGTTACATTCCACTTAACTGATATTGCTATAAACTATGGTAACCTGGGGTTGTTGTTTACATTCGGTGATGCTATGAATAATGAAATATTTTTGCCCATAGTTCAATGATAAAATGATCAAGGGTCTGGAGAACAAGCCCTATGAGGAGTGGCTTAGGGAACTGGGCATGTTTAGCCTGAAGAAGAGAAGGCTGAGAGGAGATATGATAGCCATGTATAAATATGTGAGAGGAAGCCACAGGGAGGAGGGAGCAAGCTTGTTTTCTGCTTCCTTGGAGACTAGGACGCGGAACAATGGCTTCAAACTACAAGAGAGGAGATTCCATCTGAACATTAGGAAGAACTTTCTGACTGTGAGAGCCGTTCAGCAGTGGAACTCTCTGCCCCGGAGTGTGGTGGAGGCTCCTTCTTTGGAAGCTTTTAAGCAGAGGCTGGATGGCCATTTGTCAGGGGTGATTTGAATGCAATATTCCTGCTTCTTGGCACGGGGTTGGACTGGATGGCCCACGAGGTCTCTTCCAACTCTTTGATTCTATGATTCTTGTGATCAACTGGAAAAAATGATCCAGATATTTTCCAATTTTAGCCTTGTTGAAGTTTTATTTTTCTGTTACCCACCACAGTAGTAATATAGAATTCCCTATTCTCTAAAGGACGAGAACATACTCAACATTTGGCATCACTCTAAACCCTTGATAAAAAAGTCATTGACTTCTGTAGAAAGGGTTTATTGGCTTGCTGAAGACCTGGGATAATGTTCTTTCTCTCTTGCCACACTTCTTGGCAATAAAAATACAGTTATAATAAAATAAATAATTTGAAATGTTTTGCCTTTTCATGACACAAAACAGGTGCTTCTGAAGGCAGCTTCCCCACTTTGCTTCATGGTTACATCAGGACTATAACCAAGACAATTGTGACATGTTCTTGATGGTATGGGGATACCAAATAACCTTGTCTGTCTCCTGAGGAATCTGTATAATGACCAATTAGCAACAGTAAGAACTGATCATGAAACAACAGACTGGTTTAAGATTGGGAAAGGCATATGGCAGGGTGGTATACTCCCACCCAACCTTATATGCAGAACACATCATGCAATGTGTGGGACTTGACAAATCCAAGGCTGGAGTTAAAACTGCTGGAAGAAACATTAACAACCTTTATGCAGATGACACCACTTCGATGGCCGAAAGTGAGGGGAGCAGGGGAGCCTTCTAACCAAAGTGAAAGAAGAAAGTGCAAAAGCTGGGTTGCAGTTAAACATAAAAAAACCAAGACTGTGGCAACAAGACTGATTGATAACTGGCAAATAGAGGAAGAAAACGTGGAAGCAGTGACAGACTTTGTATTTATTTCTAGGTGCAAAGACTACTGCAGGCGCAGACTGCAACCACGAAATCAGACGGCATTTACTTCTTGGGAGGAGAGCAATGACCAATCTCGATAAAATATTGAAGAGTAGAGACATCACACTGGCAACGAAGATCCGCATAGTCGAAGCAAAGGTATTCCCTGTAGTAGCTTATGGATGTGAGAGCTGGACCATAAGGAAGGCTGAGCGAAGGAAGATAGACACTTTTGAACTGTAGTGCTGGAGGAAAATTCTGAGAGTGCCTTGGACTGTGAGAAGATCCAACCAGTCCATACTTCAGGAAATAAAGCCCGATTGATCATTGGAAGGAAGGATAGTAGAGGCAAAGATGAAGTACTTTTGCCACATCATGAGAAAACAGGCAAGCTTAGAGAAGACAATGATGCTGGGGAAAATGGAAGGAAAAAGGAAGAGGGGCTGACCAAGGGGAAGATGGATGGTGCCCTTGAAATGACTAGCTTGACTCTGAAGGAGCTGGTGGTGGTGACAGCCAACAGGGCGCTCTGGCATAGGCTGGTCCATGAGGTCACAAAGGGTTGGAAGCGACTGAATGAATAAATCACAATAAATGACCAAGACATGGAACTTTCCTTAAATTCAGCATTGTTGGATGATATACACTGGAGAAAATCCTTTAGGAGTTTGCTCCTTTCCCCCTAACCCAGAGTATCCCGTTTTCAATTCCCCCTTTGGCTATGCATCCTATGCTTTCAACATGGGACTGCTTTGTACTCCCTTTTTATTTCATTATGAGCTGCATTTGTGACAAAATGCATTTCGAAACATCACCTGGGTCAGACGATTTGCATTTTGATTGCTATCTTGAATAAGACTGAGAAGAAATATGATAAGCACGAAACCTCATTTTTTAAAAAAAAGAAGTGAAGAAAGAAAATGAAACCAGACTCATCTGAAGTGGATCACTGAGACTGATGCTTTGCTTCATAGCCCAGAAGAGAGAACAGAATTGCAATTTGATAAATACAGCAAAGAGAAGTAATTCCTCTTCTTAAAGTAATGCCCATGCCGCCTTGATGTGACAATCACCATCACTTATATTCAAAGGTGCACTTTGTATCCAATGGCATACATTGAGTTCTTAGTATCTGCTGGAATGTGGGACCCTTATGGATACCGATATATGTGGATTCTCAAGCCCATTGTATAAAGTGCTGTCGTAAAATAGTACCTCTTATACAAAATGGCAAAACCATGCTTTGCTTTTTGGATTTTTTTCTGACATCCATACTCTATTTAAATGTTTCCAAGGAAGGAGCTTCCACCACACTCCAAAGCAGAGAGTTCCACTGCTGTCAGGGGTACTTTGATTGTGCTTTTCGTGCATGGC